GTTTCTTGAACACTATGAAAACAGAAGTAGAAGAGTAAATCTGCAGTTCGTACTATTTTTCAGTGCTGCATAATTTACGACATACTTCGATTATCTTACTTTTTTTAAAGATCGATTTGTCTACATTCCTTTTTAGCGATCAAATGACCTACGGTCCAAATGTCTTATTTGAACTGATTTAATTTGTTCCTAAGAGTGAGTAATCCGAAGTCTGAAAGTAAACTTTCATAAAGTTCAAGGCAAAAATTAAAAAGCAAACGAACATAGAAAAATTAAATATGGATCTATAACATGAGTTTCAGGCAAACGTGTCCGTTATCTCGTATTTTTTTACGGTTGACGCTGTTGTATATTATATTAGTGGCAACTTTGGTTAGGCCCTGTTAGCCATTAGTTGATCTTGAACATACGGCCACTTTACCGATTTCGACCGGAATTTTCACAGCTATAATTGCTGGCCTCGAACCCCCGCCCCCCTCCTCACTGCTCTCTGCTCCAACAATGCTGATCTTATCCACTCGGCCAACCGGAACTAAAGTAACCATGTCGTGTAGGTGTAACAAATATATATGTTTTATCTTGTATCCTCTCCTTATAAAGTTGTCGTTGTTTCTTCTATCATGTTGCCGGCATTGATCATTTGTCATGCTAAATGATAGTTGCCATGTTACAGATATATAAAGAAGATGGATGGAGTTGAGCGATTGCATCTCGAATCATGAACGACTATTTCTAATATAGTTGGATGTTCTTTCATTGAAAGGAGATAAAAATTACTTCCTGAAGGCAAATTATTTGCTCAGAGCCCGTGATTAATGCGGAAACATTTATTGTATCATTTATTGAGACTTACTTGGAAATATGACGGGTTCGGCGGTAGCAAAATTACGATACGAAATCATACGAGTCCGTTCTACCATCGCTGCATATGCATCCCAGATATGCCTCATATTTTTTTAGTTATACTTGAAGGGCAGAATGCTGGTATACTTTTTTAAAAGTAGTTCATTAGACCTGTTTGAAGGCTTCACGTATTCTATAGAAGGGTTTTCCTATTAAAAAACGTGTTATTCAGGCAAAGATTGATTGCTCATCTCAACTTGACATGCGAGTCATCCCTGCTGAAGGAATCCTTGAGTCACCCTTTCACCGAGACCTCAGTATAGTCAGTCAATACGAGCTGAGGTCTGACACCACGACACCGGAAAACCAAATCAGTTTGGCTGTTACCTGAGCGGCGGTAGCACGGATACCTCGTGAGCGCGAGGCATTTCAAGTGACTCTTTTCTGGTAATTAGAATTCTAAATTTCTTCAATGTCTTATTGGCACAGCTCCTTAATTAACCTAATAAGATAATTCGTAAAAGGATAATTAGATAAAATCCTCAATTAAATGAATTGATGAATGATCTACAATGCTTTTCGTGGTGAAGGTTAAGCACATTTAAATATTGCACTTAAGCTTAATTTATAAAATTGTCATCTTCCACTATTTTCAGCCCAAATTTACAAAATTCAAAGAATATATCAACAATTCAGAACTATGCCTTACTTCACAGCAGGATATTGTCGCTATATCACTCCTCATTATAGTCTTGGTTGGTTGCCATGGTAACCGTATCCCTCAGTCCAAACGATATCACCTAGCTTATTTGCTGGTATCCCTAATTGGTTCTTGTTTATTAAGATCAACTGCTGAATTTTTTTTCCAGTTTTTTAGGTATTCTTGCAATACTTTAAATTAATTTGACGCCAAAATAAAACCATAAACAGACTAAAATTCAACGAGTCTTGGCTAACTACGCGAGATTTTTTTATGAAGATTCTTTTCTGTTACTGCAAGAAATTTTATTACTATTAGACTTATTGAATCTAAACAAAATGTCTTTAAAGATATTGATAATTGGCTATAAAATCTACGTAAAAAAATCATAGTTGAACAAAGACAAGAAGGATTTGCTGTAAATTTATAAATATATGCGCAATATATAAGAATTTTAATAATAATTATTGTGATATAAATCCCAGGAGGTTTTCATCCTCGTTTAAGTTATTTTCATTGAAATAATAATTGATTCTACGTTGTATAATTATTGTGATATAAATCTAAGGAGGATTCCATCCTGGTTAAGTTATTTTTATTGATAAAATAATTGATTCTACGTTGTATAATTATTGTGATATAAATCTCAGGAGGTTTTCATCCTTGTTTAAGTTATTTTCATTGATATAATAATTGATAATACGGTAAATAATTATCGTGATATAAATCTCAGGAGGTTTCCATCCGTTGTTAAGTTATTTTTATTGATATAATAATTGATTCTACGGTAAATAATTATCGTGATATAAATCTAAGGAGGTTTTCATCCCTGGTTAAGTTATTTTTATTGATATAATAAATGATTCTACGGTAAATAATTATCGTGATATGAATATCAGAAATTGCATGGTGATGATGAAACTGGACGACGAGCTCGGGTGGCTGCTAAGCGACGCTGAAGCTAAGAAGCTGCGGGCGCGTAAAGCGCGACTGCGCGAGCGCGCGATGCGCTTACAAGACGTCAGGAACACAAGCATCGCTGTGAGTGTTCCTGTGTACTACACTTCTGCCTCACTTCCACCTCCCTCACTTCCACCTCCCTCACTTCCACCTCTCCCTCACTTCCACCTCCCTCACTTCCACCTCCCTCACTTCTATTTTCATCGGTTCAAACTTCACTTCCATCCTCCGTCATGCTGTCTTCCATCTCTTCCTCGGTTCCACCGTCATAGCTTCAGTTTTCATCGTCTCTATTTCCCCAGCTCTCGTCTTCCACGTTTCAATCCTCGCTTTCACCACTTTTGCTTTCAACTTCTTCACTTAATTTTACTTCAAATCCACCAATTTCGTTTCCCCTAGGTTTCTCGCTTCCTTTTTCCAAAGTTCCATATTTTTCACTCGTCTCAAAGTTTACATTTCGCTACAATTTCATTTATATTATTATTCCATTTCTGCCTATATTCACTGTTTTATCTGTTTTTCTTGTAGGATCTCCTGCCTTCAGATGCCATTTTTAAACTTTATTTTTCTCTCAGTGGACTTCAACCTTCTATTTCATCGAAAATAATTCGATTAGAATTTTCTTATAAATTTTTTTCACCTCTTTTCCAAAATATTCCCCCTTTTATCGATGAACAGATTATGTCAACTCTGTTATGCGTTCTCACTTCATTGCGTCTCATTTTCAGAATTTTAAGATTTTGTTCAAAATTCTCGAAATTCGGGAGTGTTAATATATACTAAGCAGCATGATGATTTCTAAATGATGATTATGTTGACACATCATATAATCTTATCACAATTTTTTCAACTAAGGTACGTATATAAGAAAATTATTTTCAAAAATTCTAAAGTGACTTTTTTCCAAATCCGCAAGAGGACCGTAAAGATCAAATATTTTTTCTATCCATTTGAATTCAATTTTATTCTTGATGTCTTTTTCAGCATGTACAGAGTACCGACTGCTTTATAATCTATCTAGTCAAAAGCCGTTAGTATCTGACGTTAATTAAACTCGGTAGTAATTTCCGTGGAGTTGCATAAACAGAGTGTCTTTTATGGCTAACTAATTAATTATTGGGGCTGCCACTTTTCCCTCTAATATGTATTGTAAACACGAATGGATGGAGCGAAATGTTGTATAAGGCTAAATAAATTTTATTGAAAAATGTCTACAATCGATGAATTTGATGGTTTTCTTCATTATCAGCTAATATATTATGCCCTAGCTATGTAGAAACTAGATAATTGTAATTCTGAATGAGAAAAACTAATTGGTGTACTTTCTGGACTAACAGTGTACCTTCAGTGATGAATACTTAGCTTAAAACGATTTAAATGTTTCTCGGTAGCTGCAAACGTTCAAGAACAGCATCATCTATAATAGTAATATACTAGGGTCATCACGACTCTTATCAAATAAGTAATACAATAGATAGTTTTATATCGTGATATTAGCATGCAAGTGGCAGTGAGATGCTGATAATATCAGTCATATATTTGTTTTTTTTTTACAGATTGACAAAGAAGCGTTGGCGAAGCAGCTGCTGGAGAAGCAGCGCCAGCAAGCGGCAGAGCAACATCTCAATGCGCGTCATGAGCGCGAGATGCAGCGTTACGATCGCGTGGCGCAGCAGCGTGCGGAGCAGCGGCAAGAGGTTTAAATTCGTTTAATATGAACATTCACAGTTATTTTTAATGATATAGCAATACTTAATAATAAGATATTTCAATTGACGGGAAATTCTGCATTAAAGGTTATTTATCTTTGGGAAAACGAAGAAATTAGTGCTTGGTGCTCGTTAGGAATGAGCTGAAGGGATTGAGTGATTGATCGCTCATTCCGAACATAAGTTATTATTTAAATACGATTTATTTAACAAATAGCTAAATCTACATTAGAGGTTCTCCAATGTTTTTTTTTATGTTGCCTGATCAGACCTGTACTGGACCACCTTTGCGATTGCTAAAAAAGAAACTGTCTTTAGTATCTCCTTTACAAATCTTTCTGTGAATTTGTGGTTGAAAAATATTTCTGCAACACGCAGTGCCAAATTAATTGTTGATCTGCAGGAGCTGCAGAGAAGTCACGCAGAGTTGCTGCAGACCTGGGCAGACCAGCAGAGAGAAGCTCTGCACCGACGAAGCGACGAAAAGGCGGCGGCCGCCGCTGAAGTGTCTTACGATTTGAAGTAGGCCGATGTAAAGCTCGAAATTCAACGATTTAATTATTTTAATTAGACACACCAGCTCAATGTGCCCCACTGCAGGTCTCAGGTCTGGGGCTTGGTTATTGTTGTAATAGCCCATCCTGGTAGTGACGACTAGGGAGGGGGNCTGAGTTGACCGTGAGCTGAGCTTCCCGGTAGAACTTGTCCTCAGTGGGACTCGAACCCGGGCTGGCTTGGTTGTTGTGTAGGCAGGATATCTTGCTGATATAAATATTCACAGCATAAATATGGCATGGCTACTAATTAGCGCCCCACCACAGTCCGATGGTGCTGCCGACATTTCATTTGCGAACGTCGGTTCTTGATTGAGAACTAACCCTTCGTCCAGCCTTTAATTTTTTTAAATGCCTCGATATTGATTTTGTGCCTTGATATTATACTCTGTTTTATACGTACATAAAACATTGTAATAATTCAGTATACATTTTTATAACGATATAACGAGGGCATTATTTATTATACGTACAGAAAACTTTGTAATAATTCAGCTAACATTTTTATAATGAAATTTTTATAATTTTAACAAGGGTAACAATTATTAACAGTTCAATCACATGAAATTATATTTTTCGAGAGATTTTACGATAAAATCACACAAAATTGAATAAATCAAAATAGATTATTTATTTTTATTGTGATTTTTTAATTTAAAATTTTCACTTGAGGTTTGCAGGCGAAGACGAGCAAGCAAAGGCGAGACGCGAGCAGCAAGAGACCGAGACTCGTGAGTGGCTCAGCCTGCAGATCTCGCAGAAGCAAACGGAGAAGCAACGTGAGCTGCAGCGCCAACAGTGAGGATAAATGCATTTATTTAACCTAAAACTGGTTACTCATTAATGTTATATATTTTTGTATGTTCAATGATTTCTGGATAGATTGATTTTTCTTTAATATTCGTTCGCAATTTTATCATATTTGCTTTACAAAAAGAAATCCCTCATATTACGCATGAGATGTATTAAAAAAATACCCGCAACAAAGATTTTCAGCTATGTGAAAGAATTATATTTCCACTTATCTAGTAATAATAGCATTAAAGACATCCCGGTACTCTTACCAGTTCACAATCTACATTAGTCATTCTGTAACGTTTGTCTTCAGAACATATCACTAACATTTTCTAAATTTTCCTTTAATATCGATCGTACAAGAGATGAAATTCCATTTTAAAATTTTGTGAACCCGTGAAAGATGAGCACATAGAAATTAAAAGGGTTACTGCATGCCTTAACCCAAATAATTCTCAATTTTGCGTAGCCCTTTCAATTTTCATTTTCAAGTGAAATATTTTTCAAAAATTTAAAAATCATAACTTTTTAATAATCCTTTTGATATAAAAATGCCGTAGATTTTTTAATTGTTAGCATGGATCACAATGGTGAATCTCTATTTTCAATTGTTTCATATTAATCATAGAATAAGAATGGATTGAAGGTACTTTGATTAATAAGTTAAAATCAAACTCCCTGATTATCATCCGCAGATTCTACAGAATTTGAATATTTACTAATAAATACTTACTTATGAATATTATTTACATATGTAAATATTATATTATTATAAATATCCACAATAAAATAAAATATAAATACGAATTTTATAATAAATACTTCTTCATTTAAGCACTAGTAATTTGCATATAGGGAAGAAGCAGCTGTAGAGGCAGCTCTGCAGCGGCGGGCAGGACAGCTACAGCAGATGCAGCAGCTGTGTAGGCAGGCTCAACAGCTGGCGTGCGATGAAGCCAACGCGGCGCTCGTGAGTGTAGCTTTTCGGAGTACCTAATACCAAATTTTTAATATGAAACTCTGAATCAATCTATAATATGAAACTCTGTATCATATGTGTTCCATAAGCAGTTATTCATAGGAAATAATATCAGTTTATCATTCAATACGTAATTCCGTGTTACTGTTACGTATTCTAAATGCTATGTAACTGACAGCCTTTAAACTGAACTAAATTACGTTGTCCTGATACCAGGAATTGGGAAAAATCTCGGAACAATAAATTTTAAGTAGCAATATGAAGATCATGAAATTTTTGGAGTAGATATTGAGTAATTTTTAAATTCCTAGAGGTACGGCGGCGTATCTCAACATTAATTAACATCTTGCTAAATACATAAATAACGCCCATAAAATGTGTTAACGGTAAAATTGAAATGTGAAACAACAACAGGTTTTGTTTCACACGAGCGTTTCCTGGTGCATTTGTTGTATGTGGGTTGGCGACAGAGCAAACATACGTATGTGTAACAAACCACTATTTACAAACTCCATGAAATAACGTTTTTGGTATTCGTCAAAAGAAAAGCGTTATGAAATGAGTTTAAAAAGTAACTAGTACACTGTACATTTCAATCGGTACTTCTTGATTAACTTGAACTGATATTCCATGAGATCGCAGTTCTTTCATATATTTTACATTCAATTGATTAGGAATTAAGTTTAAAATCGTGCTCATAAGTCATACATAGACAGATGTATATCGATACTTAATTTCATTGCAGTAGGACCTGTTGTTGCCAATATGACCACAGATACGTGAACCTAATTAGCAGCATCTGGTATTAGAATAGAAGTGTCGGCGTTGAAGAAATAGGCCCATGGCCTGTTGCCGATTCTTGAACTTTTCGTGACTTGATTTACAAGGGATCCGGCCTTTGGAACCCCATCTTTCCATAGCTGACGATTGATTGAGATAGTTGCTGGACTTATTGCCTGGTCCGTAATTTGTTAGGCATTTTAAGACTGAACATATGCCCCTGCATAGCTTCGTCTAGTCTGTTTTTGAAGATGTTAAAAAGTACGTTTTAACAGATTTTTTGTAAACTGCTCAGGAGTGATGCGATAATACATAACAGTAAAACGTCTAATGTACAAAGTTAAATAATTCTTGGGTTATACGAGACCTTTCATCTGCAATAAATGCGTTTTAGCTTAATGTTGTATAAAATGTGAATTATTTGGGGGTGGCCCAGTGGTTAAAGTTCAGAGTACCAAGATTGGAGCAAAGAGTTTCTGGTCAGAATCGACAAGGAGGCCGGGCAGTTAAGGAAAGAAAATTTGAAGCACTGAGATGCGAGTTCAAGCCCGCAACATGCTGTGGATTTTCTGCGATGTTAAGAATCGGCGACAGGCCTTCGGCCTAATTCTGTTATTTTGGAATTGGCAGGATGCGGTGGAAAAAGCTCAAGTGATACTCATGGCTCTGTGAAAGAAACAATGAGCATTGAGTACGATCGAAAACATAACAAGAACCATCGTGTAAACTTTAGACTATTGCCTTTACAATTATATGCCAGGTGAATTATTGTTTTTAATGTCTTTGTGCATGTGAGTTGAACGTAGGGCAGGGTGGCCCAGTGGTTAAAGTTCAGAGTACCAGGATTGGAGTAGAGAGGCGCGGGTTCGATCCCAGCTCTGTGCGCCAGTTTCTGGTCAGAATCGGCAAGGAGGCCGGGCGGTTAAGCATAGCAGAATTGTAGCAGTGAGTTCGAGACCGCAAAATGTTGTGAATGTTCTGCGATGTTAAGAATCGGCGACAGGCCTACGGCCTACTAAACGCTGAAACAGCTATCATTATTATAAATGGACCACAGGCGAGCGACACAGCCGCGCGTCTGGCAGAGGAGCGGAGGCTCGGTCAGGAGGCGGAGCGTCGCCACGTGGAGGGCGCCGTGCGTGGCAGTCTACTGACTGAAGATCCTGCCGCGGCCACTAGCAGGCTGGGTCCTCACAGGGTGTTGGTCAACAAGTATGTGAAATAAATAAAAAATATTCATTCTAGAATTATATTTTCCTTTTATACTAGTCCAATTAAAAAATCGAGCTTTATGAATCTTTTGTTTTAGTACCAAAATTGGCCAAGTTGAATTAAAAAATCGAGCTTTATGGACATTTTTCATTTGTTTAATTGACAGGCTACGAAAATAATAGTGATTTTAAATAGCGGTAAATAACAGTGAACAGTTGCGTGTTGACTTATGCTCACGTGTATTCCTACAAACGTGTTCTTTTTCTAGAAAGATTGCGATCATTCATTCGTTCTCAAATTACCAAAAAATTATTTTAGTTGCAATTCTCGGCTATACATCACTTTGTTTTAATTATTTGTAGATAATTATGAGCTCACTTTTCAAACTCTTCCGAGAACAATTTATTTACCGTTAGCCATAAGCGTAAATTTTTGCTTTTTAGTTTCACAATTATCAATTTATTTCATCAAGTCTGTACTTGCATGTAGTTTCTGTCATTTGACAAAAATGTAAATATTTATCACAACTGCAAACGTTTAAAACAATATTTTCATGTGGCAGATGGAAAGGCTTCTCGCCAGAACAGCGGCAGCAGCAGCTTGATAAACTGGAGAGTCAGATCCGAGAAAATAAGGTAAGTTCCTTTCCGGATAACATTGTTCTTATCCGGATCTTTTTATTCACTAATGAATAAAATTAGTATTATAATTTTAGGATCAATAGAATATAACACATTTTTCTAGCGTTTCAAATAGTTATTGCAATCTTTGATAACGGTATCCCAAGTGCAAACGTTCCATCTTGAATGTATCACCTTAACTTCATTAAAGTTCCCAAATAGCGTGCAAGAAAATATTTGTAAGTTAAATAGCTTCAATTAAGTTGACAAAGAATATGTAGAAAGAACAGCTATTCGACTAATACAACTCGAATTATCGTCTTAATTGTTAATTATTCTTTTTGAACTTTTTTGCAGGCTCGGCAGGAGTTGCTGCAGAAAGAGCAAAAAGAGTGGGAGGCTCACGCTGCTCACGTAGACGAGAAGACCGAGAAACAATTCAGGATTTTTTTGGAAGAGAAAAGGTAAAATAATTCAGTTTTTGTTGTCTAATTTTACTCCAATTCAAATTAGCTACAAAGAAATAAACCTGACTTCCCTCGATAAACATTTATTATAACACCTCAAAATATAATCACGGTTGGAAAAAGCGAGAATACGTCATTCAGTGAAATCTTTCCGTTGAAATTGGCCATGAGTTTTTTTCTGAGAATTTTTCACGAATTCCTATCTATCTCGAGCCGAGCTTATGAAATGAAAATGTTTTTCAGTTTTTGAAGTATTCTTATTTTCTATCCATTACACTTTCCATAGTAATTTCTTTGCATAAATAAAATACTTGGGCAAACGCATTCATTTTGTTCGCTTATGTTTTCGCAGTTGATGGTCAAGTAGTTCCATAGTTGATTAAAAAATTAAACGCTAACCCAATGCTCCATCTTAATGTCACTATATAAGGTACATTCGACATTCTCAAGTATGAAATTATTCTCTAGTTTGCCATTAGAAATAAATTTTTTCTCTTAATGTTCATCATCACGTAGTATTCATGCGTATCAATTTCGAGCAGACGTCAACAGGCCGAATTACTGGCAGCAAACAAGCGTTTGGCAGAACAACAGCGCCTACGCCGCCTCCAGGAGCACCAACTTTACGGGACTAATCAGCCAACAGAAGACTATTTCGACGGCTTCGGCGTATACGCACGTTGATTTTCGTCTTTTTTCTGTACAATAAGTGTTTTTGAATTAATGATTTCTGCTTTCTCTTCCTGGCTTCCATTTTCAACGTGGAAATTTTCATTTCATTTTCTTAAATTCAAATTATTATACTCATTAAAGTGGTCGTCTACGTTCTAATTGATATATTATTGGTATAATTGATGAATTTGTATCCTGGGCTTTATAACAAATCTCTTTTAACATAGAATTCATTCAATAACTCATTTGTCCTTCGTTCCCGATCACCACTTGCTCTATGGCCAACATTTTCCAGAGATACATTTTTGTCATTGGGAGTTGGTTTGTTGTGCAACTGACGACTCATGAGCCGTTGATGGCTCGGCACCTTCACTCGTCTTCTCTTACCAGTCGCTTTCGTTTTCCACTGCAACATCCCTGGATATTTCTGATAGAACAGAATGAATCTACATGGGTAGCTGCTGCTCACTGGAACAATTATTGGTCTCGAGTTGGGTAATGCAGGATCCCGTAGAAAAATATTCTTAAGTGACAGCATCACAGGAAGTATCTTCGGAATGATCGCGGGTTGGATTATCTTCTTGTAATTGGTTGAAAACGACCTGCTCGAAGAGTCCGTAAGAATTCTGGTGGGAAAGTTGGCTTTAATCCTGAAAGTTCCCTTTTATTGCGTCTTCCGCTGGTCCATGGAGTTGATTTAAGTGATTCCATACCACCGAGGAAATTTAATTACCAGTAGATTCCTGTTCTCGGGTCACGAAGCTTGACTGTGGGTCGACTATAGTCATGACATGTTCTTGATCAACTTATTATCTGAAAATTTCTTCATAGCGAGGAGGATCTTGTGCGTATTCATGCTTTTAACGTCTGAATTCCTCGAGTTCTGCTTGTGTGTTCTAGCTGAGGTTCCCGGTTGTTGAAATGCCACTGCTTGCATTAAACGTGATGATTACTTGGTTCCAATCAACTGTTCTATCATCTTACGACTCCATGCTCAAATCCTGCTGCCGCTACCGGAAATAATTTCTAATTCTTCGGAGGAGAGGAGACAGCTACCATCTCCAAAACTCTATTATTGCCCACGGAATTATTAAAACCAGGAGGAAGATGCAGAAGAAAGCAACCAAATCTGTTGCCCAATGGGCCATTTTTAGATTCGAAATCGTTCTGGTGTTGTCTTCAAATTAGAAATTGTGAAGACTCCTTTGTCTAAATGCGTCTGCTACCCTTCAGTTGTCCCTGCAGATTTAAATTAGAGATGAGATGAACAGCTGCGATTTTTCACGCTTCTAACTCGATTCCTAAAAAGTTCAAAGTAAGGCTTTTACGAGTATCCAATTTACGAAAGACGTTTCACCATTGATTTTTTTGCTGCTGAGATGACTGCATGGAACTCGGTATCCAAGTTTCGATTGTCATTGGAATCAGCTCACTACCGTTTACAAAAAATTCATTTACTTCTTTATATTATATGATCAATGAGTTGGACTTTTTTTATTGGGTGCAATATCGCGCGAGCAACCTTTCTACTTCGTTCGTTTTTCGACCGATCACTTTTACAAATTTATATTCAATCGCTTAATCTGAACTCTGTCGCCACTCATTTTCGTTTGAATATTCCCTCCGTACTTATGATACGATACGGTTTCTGTTGAAAGTTTGAACACTTGAACTTGTTTGAAACAATCTAATAATCTTGAATCGAAATGATTGAATGCCATAATTTTCAAAGCTGCACTCCTAGTTATCAATAATTTCTAGAACTAGATTAAATCCTTATACCTACTTCAATACCTACTTTAATAATATACTTTATACTTAAATTCCTTACTTAATCCACCATAATACTGGCTATACGTTGGAGAGTGGTGTGCCGAATGTCGGCCTCATGGCACAATTTATTCAAAGGTCGATTTTGCCGTTAATAGATAAGGGCATATCTTAATACAGATGGATCTTAAACTTAATCCACCATAATACTGGCCATACGTTGGAGAGTAGTGTGCCGAATGTCGGACTCATAGCACAATTTATTCAAAGGTTGATTTTGCCGTTAATAGATAAGGGCAGTTATCTTAGTAGCCTACATAACCTGCTTTGCGACCTCACGGCATTCCTCTTGCCGAGCGGTCGCGAGCTCACCGTTTGAACGCCTCCAGGCTAGGAGTAGCCATGCCCTACCTTCTGAGCTTTCGTTGTTTACAACGATACCATGGGTTTCATATCGCTTCATTGTGATCAAACAAAAATGAGGTGCGATGAGCCCCAAAATACCCCAAAAATACTATTTTTAGCGCATTTTCTCATTTATGGAAAAAATGCACTATTGTTCTCGCCATGTCCGTCTGTCTGTCTGTCCGTCCGTCCGTGACCTCAAGTTTTCGTCGACGAGAAAATGCGCGCTCTGTCACTCACTGCAGTGAGTACCGGGTTTTATTTTTTCTTTACTTTCTATTATTTTCAGGGGTGAACTGTTACGATGACTATTTAGATCGTATTTACCTCGTCGGAGATTTTTTTATATACATGAATATAATGGAAAAATTCAATGCGTATGTCACAGTACATGTTAAAATTTTACTTCTATTATATTTAAATAATATTTTTATCGATTTTGTAATACAACTTAATTGCTGATTTTGCAATTCCAGTTTACAAATTACCGTGTGCGATTTCGGAACTGACAAATTCAAACTAATATTACTTTCTGCCAAATTTCTAATATCATAAAAGCACGATAATTACTGTTAACTTAGTTACCATAGAATTAAATGGAAATTTGTATTGGTCTCTCATTCTGGAAATAATAAAAAATTTGCTGATATGTCGATCTGATCAGGTAAATGTGGGGAATCTGATCACCAACAACGATATGGTTGATCTAAATAATAATGAATTTACCTTTGCTTAGATGCTATATTAACCAAGAATTAAAAAACATTACTCAGGACTCACTGCAGTGAGTGACAGAGAACGCCATTTTCTCGTCGACGAAAACGTGAAGTCACTGACGGACTGACAAACGGACGGACGGACATGGCGAGCACAATAGCACCTTTTTTCCATTAATGAGAAAAATGCGCTAAAAAGCAAAAAAAAAAGAAACGAGTAAATTAATCAGAATGTCATGTCATCAAATGGGATCGGAGACCGCTTCATCATCAGTTCACTAATTCAAGAATGAACTGAGGATGGAACCCGTCTGCTAAAACAGTTTCAATTAAATTCTGGCGAATTTTATGCTTTAAAAGTCATTCGATACATAATTTTGTGGTGTCCGAGAAGATTTCAGTGTAAGACTGACAATTGCCCACCTGTATAAACCTCGGATGGTTTTCATTAGGGGTGTTCACTGCCCGCAGCCAGCGATCCGCACTCGCTAGCCCAGCGCGGTGTGGCTGGCGCAAAGCGTAACGGTCTGCCTCCTCTATCGGGGTCTGGCCCACGTAAATGGCAACAGTGTCGTATAGGCCACAGGATTAATGTTGTTGTGCGAGCTAGTGGGTTGTGATGCCTGAATTTTATCTCTATACTATGTTATATCTATACTAATACTATTTATACCAAGTTCATAATGTTGTAGATGAAATTGACTTGCTATTGACAACGACCGAAATTGTGCAGTGTCTTGACAATAATTGAAATATGATTTGGTTCCCACAGTGAACTATAACCTAATTGACGATTTGCGATTCCTGTATTCTGCCAGCAATTAGCATTGAAATTACTAGTGGGTCAACTAGTAGCTATCACTGGTTTCTTGTACCGTGATATTTTTGGGACGTTTAATTTATTGTGGATTATACTTTCAGCCTTCAACTTAATTTATTATTTTTTCTGTGCTACATTTTCTCTGTTTTGTTCGGAATTTGGCTGCTTAAAGTTGCATTAAGTTGCTATGAGTGGGTACATTTAAGACATGAAACAATGTCCGAGATGGAACGCATACCGTAAACATTATTTCATTTCACCTTATTGAGAAGCAGCGTAAAATTATTTTTTGTTTACTGCGTTTTGTATAGGTTCACAAGTAGAGTCAGTCGTACAAGTTAGGTGACGCTGACTGAGGTCAGCATTGCAATAACGAGAAGCCTCGAGCTCCCGGCAAGCGGCAACCCCTGAAAACTTGGCTCGTCAGTGCCGGCTTGGACGTTGTGTCGGTGGTACGTGTGTTAAAAGCTGACGAGATTGTGTGGAATGTGGAAGAGTTCTAGGAGGGGTCACCTCGCATTTTTCTTACCTGCCTGAAAAATCGAATACGTGCAACTGTCCCGGGACCCTATGTTAAATTAACGCGTACCGAACTCGCAATTCTGAACTCTAGCATTTTCTATTTTAATTGAAGTATTGTATGTTTGAAATTTGAGATCTTTTTGTAGTTACTACGTTAAGCCTACGTAGCTAGTACCTATAAGTATAACCTTACGTTCTTGCTATCTATCAAGTTAAATTTTTTCAAAGCAAAGAGTTTTAAACATTTGGGAGTGCTGGTGGTGGCGATTAGGCAAAGATTCTAGGTACATGATTCAAATAAATTTAGGTTGAAGTTCATTTGGCGGGAACGAAATTTTTGATATCGGTCAGTTCGAATTTAGCACTTTACTTTTCGTTTTGGTGCCAGAAAATTAATAAATATTACCTAAGGTGATATTTATTGCGACTAAGTTTCGATTCAATTATTAAGCGAAGAATTTGCTACTTTGCTCCTGCACGCAACTTTCCGAACTTTTATGACTGAACAAAGTGGCGATTAAAATAGATTTAGATGGAAAAAGCGCCGTAGTAATCATGGTCATGTTTAATGATTGTGATGTTTGAACTCCTTATCAGATTCATAACATTATGATTACCGCTTAACATATTTGTTTAGTGTGCAATATGATTCATTGATGCCCTGTTTTTCAATTTTTCAGCTAAGCGAATTCAATTTTCTGTTTGTTTGCTTATAATTTATATGACGGTTACTAATACATATTAATTCTCCGCCACGCTTACAATTTTTTTTAATAAGGACTCATTTATCATTAATGACATAAGTCGCCACTAAATAGCTACTGCATTTCACTCGCTCCTCATCGATAAAAACTGTAGAATACTGTTCACTGGTCAGAATAACTACTATTTTTAGGGTTCGATTACCACGTAATAACTAAGAAGTTGTTTCGATCGCGCTAGAAAGTTGTAGTTTATTGTGTTTACAAAATAGGTTATTTACTTTGAAGGCCGGCGAAATATATATGTACTCTGGCGACGTTAGTGGCACGGACGTTCGGAATGAAAAACCGTGCGTATTTGAGCATTTAGTCAGGAAAGAACAAGTGATGCATTCACTGCTCTCGCAAAGCTTTAATCCGAGACGTCGGTGTCCGATCTTTCCAGGCCCGCTCGCTAATTGCTGGGAACTTGCGTGGGAACTTTCGTTATGTGAACGCGGTGATCGCTGTGCTAGTGAGGCTATGATTCCTTAATTAATTACCTAACGTTTCTCTGAACGATTTCCTGTCTACTTTAGAATGCGTTGGGATTTGAGATGCACTGGGTAATAAATAAATTAATAGCGGTTTATTCGTGACCTGCGAAACACGTAGACTTTTTTTTTCTTACTACGCATCTAATGCTACAATCTGATTAACATTTTTTTTATTTTTATGCACCAATAATGTGTAGCCATATTTACTAACTTTAATTGTGTTTGGTATGACTTCTTATATTGATTTCGATGTCGTTAATGTTGAGATTTACGGTTTTTTCTTCAGTGGTAGGGAGAGGGATGCGGGGAACAGCGGAAAGCTTCGATCACATTGTATAAAACTATCAATAAAACATTAAATGGTACATCTCTCTCTGCCACGACAAACAATGCACTGGCTTACGTGTCATTACTACCCTAAACTGTTGCTAAATATTTCCCATTAATAAAAAAATATATAACTAATTGACGTATCCCACTTTTCCATATGCCTTTTATAGTACCGGTATATACTCTTCTTCCCTTCCCCTTATTTGTCGGTCGTCATTGACTTAGAAGTTGGATAATTTTCAGTACAACGGAAAATTTGCGACGTTTCAGTTTTATCAATGTGCATAAATGTGTTGTATTTAATAATTGTATTTGTTCAACTTGCCTGCAATTTTTTATGATGGAAATCGAACAGAACTTGGACAAATTATTCAGGTTCATTCATAACATGTTAAGCGACAAAACTAACTGCATGTTAACAACGTCACTCATGTTGGACGATGGTAATCATAATTTTTCAGCCTTTCAGCCGAATATCGCTTATGTTCCCCATGTATTAAATAAATTCTTTATTACTTTGCCTTCAATTTCCCACAGATATAAAGACGCTAATCGACCTGTATTCAGTAGACGACTGTTATACTATATAATTATTATCACGATGGAACTTCGGGACTGAACTTTAATAATTTTTTGTGATGCTGGCAGAAGGAAAATTTTTAGTTGGAAAAACTTGTACTGTGAGTCAATTGATTTTCTTAGTGTTTGAAAAAATCAACCTACAATTTTTCTGAAGTATACAATGAAAAATGAAATCCTCAACGTTTTTTTGAACTACATTTATTATTTAGCATTAGGAATGTAAATCGAAGAATTGCAGTGAAAGTTAGAATGATAAAAAACTAACAAATGAAAACTAAGCAATTTTTGTTTTCTCTATAACACTACTTGAAATTATGCACGTCATTTCGGGTTTATCTGTTGGTGTGATAGAATTCTTTGAGTGTCGAGAAAGCAACTCTCAAACATATGTTGTGAAGTAGAACATTGTCCAAACATATGTTGTGGTGAAGAAGAATAATGCCAAAGCATATATAGTTGTAGTGACGAAGAACATTGCACAAACAAATAAAGTGGTGAATACGAGAGGCGTATAATGTACTGTAAAATCTAATAATATCAATCCGTTGTCGAGGCAATTTGACTTACGTTTGTTTTATCAACTGTGGTACATAATGATGTGAAAAATTATTTAATTCATTTGGCACACTTTTTTTGAAGTATGCCTTTTGCACGTATTCTGAAATTTTTTGACCCATGCATAACTGAAGGAACAAGATTTCACATTCGTCAACTCCTCATCAATACGTCAGTATTCAATCTACAATCTTCCGTCCACACTGTATCAATACGTCCAGTTTTCAGTCCACAATCTTCCGTCCACACTGTATCAATACGTCCAGTGTTCAGTAACAATCTTCCGTACACATTGTATTGATACGATAAGTAACTATCTTCCGCGCAAAAAACAACATCAATTTCCTCAATTGCCAACACCCAGCCATCGTACCAGCGATGGGCAGCAGATCGTTATTAAGAACAGGTGACAGTTCCTCGACTCCTCCCTCTCCTCTCCCTCCTGCTCCTCCCCTCACCTACAAACGACTCCTCATGAGTTCAGGAGCTACCCTCACATCCATGCCTCTCTTCCCCTCACACGTGGCCCTCTGGGGAGGAGTAGTCAAACTTATACTCGGTGTTGCCGTGGCCGGGGTGTGGGGAGTGAGTTATGCCATCGATGCTCGGTTCTCATCCCTCGGAGGGGGGCTGTGGGTGGGGGCTGTCGTCTCGCTGTCGGGCTTCCTTTCTGTATGCGGGGCGCGGCGCCCCAACTCGCAGGTCTGTGGGGAGCTACAGCTGTCGAAATTTTCCCCTTACTATGATATAAAGCTTTTTAGTATTCAAAATTTCAAAGCTTTATTTTGTAGAAAGATGACAAAATCCTATTTAGTATTTAAAATTTCAAAGCTTTTTTTTATTAAAAATGGGGGGCTATCGAAAATTTTCCCTTACTATGATATAAAGCTTTTTAGCATTGAAAATTTCAACGCTATATTTTGTAGAAAGATGACAAAATTTTCTTTAGTATTTAAAAAATTTCAAAGTATTTTAGTATTCAAAATTTCAAAGCTTTATTTTGTAGAAAGATGGCAAAATCCGATTTATTATTTAAAATTTCAAAACTTTTTAGTATTCAAAATTTCAAAGCTTTATTTTGTGGAAAGATGTCAATATCTTCTTTAGAGTTTAAAATTTTAAAGCTTTTTTAGTGGTATACGACCAGCCTTTGATTTTTTATTCTGAAAAATACGCAAAAACGACCGTGATGATCAGGTGGATTCTTTATTGGTGACTTCCTGGATTAATCTGTGTTGAAATTCAAGATGATTTTTTTCATACAGTAACGAATATTTGTAATATTTGACGCGTAATATTTGTGATCCAGCTTTAATTACTGCTGTATTATTAATTAATCATCGTATTATTGTATTATTAATTAATCATCGCATTGTATTATTAATCAATTATCGTATTATTTTATTATTAATTAATTATAGTATTATTGTATTATTAATTAGTCATCGTATTATTGTATTATTAATTAATCATCGTATTGTATTATTACTTAATTATGGTATTATTGTATTATTAATTAATTATCGTATTGTATTATTACTTAAATATCGTATTATTGTATTTTTACTTAATTATCGTATTATTGTATTATTAATCAATCATCGATTCATCGTATTATTGTATTATTACTTAATTATCGTATTATTGTATTATTAATCAATCATCGATTCATCGTATTATTGTATTATTACTTAATTATCGTATTATTGTATTATTAATTAATTATCGTATTATCGTATTATTAATTAATCATCGTATTATTGTATTATTACTTAATTATCGTATTATTGTATTATTACTTAATTATCGTATTATTGTATTATTACTTATCCATCGTATTATTGTATTATTAATTCATTATTGTATTATTAATTAATTATCGTATTATTGTATTATTAATCAATTATCGTATGCTGACTGTCAGGTGTACCTGGTGAGCTTGTGTGTGGGGGCGCTGTCGCTGCTGGCGTCAGGTCTGCTGCTGCTGCTGTCACTTGCTGCGGCCGCGGCTGACGCTGGTGCTGCTAGCCCGCCGCTCTTCCTGACGCAGGTGAGGCCTTTACCCTGACTGGAATTTTTAAAGCGCTGCTAATATTATCAACATTTTGGATATTTTTGTGTTTTTAGCGCGTTTTCTCATTTATGAAAAAAATGCACTATTGTACTCGCCATGTCCGTCTGTCCGTCCGTCCGTCCGTGACTTCATGTTTTCGTCGACGAGAAAATGCGCTCTCTGTCACTCACTGCAGTGAGTACTGAGTTATATTTTTTTCTTAACATTTGGCGATTTAAGTTAACATGAGAAATAACTTTGAGAAGGTATATTAGTTAGATTAAGAAGTTGTGTTGAAGGTATGTTTTAACTCAGAAATCATGAGAGACGAAACGATATGACGTAATAAAGATGAAAGTAATACAACTTGAGAACTGTGATTGATTTGTATTCATTTGTGAAGGAAAATCAACTCCTAAATTTTAAGGTATTGAAAATAGAATTTAATTTAAATTAAATGCTTTGAAAAATTCGCGAATGTGAGAAAAGAGTTGCGTAAAGCGAATAGTCATGATTTGAGAAATAATTTTAATCAGGCAGTAAAAGGATTGAGCAAATAACATGTGAAGCAGTTACAGGATTATATTCAGAAATGAAAGCACAAAAACGGCAAAGAAATCCGAAAATAAAAATGTGTTCGCGTAGGAACGTCTTTTGTAAGAATTTCATTTCTAACTTTACGAATTAAGCGGATAATGCTAGGGAACTGATCGACATGAAAAATGCTTAAAATACATTGAATATTTGATTAATCAATTATTGGTTGTGGTGACCAAAGCAAACTAATCAAAGTTCTGTAAACCTTGAAGTTAAGCGGTACATAAATCAACAGAAAGCAACAGTTACAGATGCGTCCAATGTGTTTCCGTATTTATCCTATGTGTTTCAAAGTATTTTTCCGTCCAATGTGTTCCCGGTATCAGATTGCATAAAACGAACTTTTGAAGACCTTTTTTTCTAAAATGATGCTTCGAGATCGAGGAATATAAACTTAAATGAAAAGTAGAGCTCAGATATTGCTTGATTACACAAATAAAATTATTTATTTGAGCATCGTTATCTAAAGCAGACTAACCATATACCAAAAGACCCAAAGGTCTAATAATTCATTACGAATCAAATCAGCATGTGACCTTCACAACTCGTTGCTTTTACCATTCGTACTTTCTTTTCTTGAATACCATGCATTTTGTCACCACTGCCGCACGACATTGTTCACTTCCACTTTAACCTTTGCTCGTTATTTTTTTCTTGTTTCCTGCTCCTGACGAGACGCAGTGCGAGCTTTGGAAATTTGCAAATTGTTTGTTTCTGTTTGTTCTTAAAACAACCACACAACCAAAACTTTGGTGTGTGGTTTGATGGACTTAAAAACCACACAACCAAAACTTTGGTGTGTGGTTTGGTGGACTTAAAAACCACACAACCAAAAAAAAGTATTTTAGTGTTTTATGTTCATTAGCTTCATCATCAGAAGTAGGCTTCAATTAGGGAACTAGAAGTGTTTCAGTTTCCAATCTTGGAATATTCTTTAACCATTGTATTCTATTGTATTGTTTGAAAAGTGTTTCCTATTTTCAAGTGTTATTTTTAAAATAATTCAACCTCTGTACATGTTAGAACTAATCCCTTTGCATGCCACATTTAAGTGAGATGAATACCACATTCCTAATGTAAGGTTTTCCAGTCCTCGCTTATTTTAGCCTCTTATAACAGCTCCAATTCTTGGTGTAAGTATATATGCTCTCTACTCATATAATACTGTACGTAAGCGCTGAAACGACCTGGCTTTCTTTCATACAGTATGTTACCTCTTGAACGACCTAGTACGAAGCACACATTTCGTACTTTATTTAAGCTCTATTTCGTACATGTAACCACTGTTAAAACATGGTCCGATGCACGTTGCACACGATTCATACTCCAAGTATAGAGTTATTCTAAATGATGGTCCCAGTTGAATAAATTCGTTTTTATTTAAGTATATGTTCAAAATGGAAAATTTATACACCAATAGAAAGTAAAAGATTAAAAATTTTATACATATTTTTAAATGTTCAATATGTCCCCTTGTCCTCTCAGGAAGTGACAATCAGTCACTTCCCGAGCGTTTGTTGCTTGTTCCGTGTTGTTGTGTAATGCAATAAAATGGTTCTGGCGGGTCAGCAAGCCAGTGACTGTCGTAGAACTACAGGGTGCGCCACAGAAACTTACTTATTTGAAAAAATTCCTGTGCGGTTAGTTGATCGGGTAGAGGGGCGAGAGGGGGTGCATCTGAAGGGGAAAGTTCCCAAGTTTGTTTCTCAAAGTTTCTCAAATAAATTTGCTGTAGTGCAAGAATTAACTGAACGCGATTTTGTTGCCCCTCAAAATGCATGTAAAATGCTGGTTGACAACCTGCCTGAAGACGCGGTCGTTTTTTTCAGTGGAGAGGCTCACTTCCACATTTCCGGCTGCGTTAACAAGCTAAACATGCGTTATTGGTGTGGTGTAAATCCACGTGAGTTTCACCAGAAGCCACTTAACTGTGAGCGAGTTACTGTCTGGTGTGCGACGTCGGTAATGTGTCTTTCGCTTCCGTATTAGCAAAGATTTTCCCTCACGTTTTAAAGGTTTTTTTTTTACTTCAGTGTTGGCTGACAATTTTTCATTTGTCTTTCTTGACTTAATGTGTGTAGTGTGACATCCAAAATTGCGTAATTTTGCTTCATGTATCCTGTTATCCAATTTTTTGCCAGTGAGTACACGAGAAATTTTTGCTTACTGGGAATTTTATTCAATTTAAACGAGACTTTGTGCTGGGTATTATTTTCATCTTGGATTCCGCTGAGCGCTCCGGCATCAAGGCTGCGGCCATCACTGAATGTCAGAACGTGACATTAGTGAACGCGGCTCCGAACTTAAGATTTAATGAACTCTTCTATCCGTGCCAGCTTCTTGTCGTCCTTAACACTAAGAATTGCATTCATAGATTAAGTTTTGAACATGATACGCACTAAAGTAAATTTCCTGATAATAATGGATTTTTTTTATGCCCAAAGGGCTGAATTTGTTAAAAGGGTAAAAAATTATGTCTATAATTATTCTATTTAGTTGTGTCAGAGTAACGAATGCGCATCAAATTTATATGTACAGAAACATTATAAATAAAGTCAAATATTGAAAACCTCACAAAACAGCGTGGCAATTTTTTTTTCTTTATAAAGGTCGTATTTATTCAATTTGTAGCCCTAGGCGTACATGGGCTTTCGATGGTTTAATGCGACGTTCAATAACAGCGATTTGATCTAAAGGCCACCGTAGTGTCTCAGAACCTTGACGTGAGTTGAGGAGATTGTCAATTATTGCATAATTGTTATCGTGACGCAGGCCCTGTTATTGTTGGCATTGAGAGAGCTTCAACAGATCGTGCACAATATCATAACCATTAATTATCCATACCTATTGCATCGCGTTGCCTGCTGCAACATCAATAATATTTTGGGTATATTTCTTTGTCACGACGAATAGATTTTCTACTCGTGGCTTAAGATTAAGCGAGAGGCTAGGAATGGATGCTAACTTCATGTTTCTCTTTTTTCGTCTTTTGTAGTGTTTACGTCCAAGAATACGCATTTGTTTTATTATTATTTGCGACTTTGTGTTTCAAATGCAATTTTACTGTTTGAAAATGGAATTATTCTCTATTGACCTGGGAAAGTTACCAGTTTTTTCATAAAAATTTCCTCACTTACGCACTACGCAGTATAATCGAAGTCTGGGTACTGTAAATGGATATCACTAAAGTAGACTTTAAAATTATATTGCAATTATCTATTTCATTATTATTATTACATGTTGATGTAATTTTACCTCATGCAATTCTGATCAAGTGTACGAGCGTGACTCTGTAAAAATTACCACATAGTCAGCCGACATAAGCTTCTCAGATGGAACTTTGTCGAGCCTTAAGTTCACGGTCGATGTCAATCTTTCCATCGTCATTTCGTCTGGAAAGTTCATATAGCTTGTGATTAGGTAGTTATGCCCTGCTATTCGACCTTCCCGCCCATGCCCGTAGGGGTTGTTTTGTTGCAAGCTGTTTTGCAACTGAGAAAGCTACCTCTATGTTTTAAAATTATGCACTTGGCCGCATGGTTTTGATAATTATATACATGTCTTCTTGAGTTGCAATCAAATGTTGTTGCTCTGTCTCTATAAGTGCACAAAATGGCCGCGTTTCTTAGTGAAACAAGTGTTAATTAACACAAATATGAGACTTTGTTTATGGAGATTTATTTTCACGGATTACTAGTCGTTACGCAGGTTGTCTCTGATCAGTCGTCACGAGATAACTACTTCGCGAATTAATGTCTCCTCGTTGAAGTTTGCATTGACAATAGTTGGAAAATCTGCTCGAAATTGGGAAATTTGGCAGTATCCTTGATTAATTCGTTGCCGTACCGTGCTATTATAAATGTATTTTTATTACCTTCTGAGCGAAACAATTTATGAACCGATGATGTCTTAAGTCTGCATATGAGGTACATCTTCCAAGTTTCATATGAGGATTTACCCTTAGTTAATTTCAAGTATCTTTCAATATTATTCTAGCGTTCAAGTGTACAACGATCATATGCGAATTTCTTTTCTACTCTTACTATAACTCTCAAATTTATACATAATATTAAACACTATAGGTGGGTTAATTTTCAACATTTGTTCCTGCCTAAAACCTTATGCGTGACTTGCTAACCTCGGAACTGCACTTGTGTTTATGCCTCCCGCAACCTGCCATTTAGATTGCTGCTCACTCGACCTGGAGGCACCGGCGGGTCGCTCGCGTGATCGAACCTGCGATGGTACCTGACCGCGGGTTTTTACAGGTGCAGGTGTATTTCCTTTTTTTAAGGCATAACTGTACAGTAACTGTCACATCGACTCTAGGCTTGCATGGAGTCGGCCGTTCATGCGAACCACAGCTGAGCTCGCTATGCTTGGTATGATTGAATACATGC